GCTGTGCTACCAGGGCTCCATAAGCAAAGTATAGGGTTTCCAATTTCTCCATGTCTTTGCCAGTACTGTCTATTTTCTTTTTTAATGGTAGCCATTCTGGTGTGGTCCCTGGGTGGCACAAATGGTTTGTGCTCCACTATTAACCTAAAGATTGGCAGTTTGAACCCACCCAGTGGCATCATGGAAGAAATGTCTGGCAATCTATTTCCATAAAGATTACAGCTGAGAAAACCCTATAGAGCAGTTCTACTCTAAACACGTGGGGTCACCATAAGTCTGAATTAACCCAATGGCAGTGGGTTTTAGTGTGTGTGAAGTGACATCTCATTGTAGCTTTGATTTGCATTTCCCTAATGACTAAGGAGGAGTATCTTTTCATGTGTTATTAGCCATTTGTACAGGGAACCCTGGTGGTATAGTGGTTAAAGCGCTTGGCTACTAACCAAAAGCTCAGCATTTCAAACTCATCAGCTGTTCCATAGCTTCCATAAAGATTTACAGCGTTAGAAATCGTATGAGGCAGTTCTACTCTGTCCTACAAGATTGCTATGAGTTGGAGTCTATTTGACGGCAATGGGTATACATGAGTATTGTCCATTTGTAGATCGTCTTTGGCAAAATGTCTATTCACAACCTTTTCTTATTTTCTAATCGGGCTATTTGTCTTCTTATTGATTTGCAAATAATTTCTCCTAGTCTATGGGTTGACTTTTTGTTTTTCTGATGGTGTCATTTAAAGCACAAAAGCTTTTAATTTTGATGAAATCAAACTTATTTTTTTTAATCACTTGTGATTTTGGTGTATTTAAGAAATCATCGCTTAATCTAAGGTTATGAAGATTCATGTGTATATTTTCTTCTAGGAGTTTTATGATTTTAGCTTTTACATTTATATCTAGGATTTATTTTGAGTTAAATTTTGTGTATACTCTGAGGTAGATGTCCACATTTTATTCTGTTATTTTATTCTCAGGCCTTTGTCAAAAATCAATTGACCATAGACGGTCATTTCTGTACTCTTAATTTTATTCTATTGATCTATGTCTAGCTTTATGACATGTCCACAATTCTCAGATTACTGTAGCTTTACAGCAACTTTTGAAATCAGAAGTGTGAGTCTACCAAATCTGTTATTTTTCTTTCCCCCAAGATTATTTTGGCTATTCTAGATCCCTTGCATTTCCCTACGAATTTTAGGATCAGCTTGTCAATTTCTGCCAAAAAGGCAGTTGGGGTTTTAATAAGGATTGCAATAAATCTGTACATCGGTTAAGACTGTACTGAAAACTTAACAATATTAAGTCTTCTGACCAATGGATATGGGATAACTTTCTATTTATTTAGATCTTTTTAAAATTTTGGTCAACAGTGTTTTGTAGTTGTTATTATAGAAGTCTTGCACTTCTTTTGTTAAATTTATTCGTAAGCATTTTATTCTGATTGGTTCTATTATAAATGGAATCATTTACTCAACTTCATTTGTTCATTGCTAGTGTATAGAAACACAATTGATAGATACATAATGATATTGAATCCTGTAGCTTGCTGAACCTTACTGAACTTGTTTATTAGTTCAAGCAGTTTTATTCTGGATTTTCCGGATTTTCTATGTACAAGATCGTGTCATCTGTTTATAGAAATAGTCTTACTTCTTCCTTTTTAATCTGAATATATTTTATTTCCTTTTCTTGCCTAATTGCCCTGGGTAGATCCCTCCAGTACTTGTTGAATAGAAATGACAAGAACAGACATTCTTGTCTTATTCCAGATATTACTGGGAAAACATTTTCTCTTCTCTATGTAGTATGACATTAGCTACAGGTTTTTTGTAGATATCATTAAACAGGTTGAGGATATTCTCTTCTGTTTATAGTTTTTTGAGTGTTTTCATCATGAAAGCGTGTTGAATTTTAACAAATGTTCTGTATCTATTGAGGTGATCATATAATTTATTTTTGATTGTTAAATTAATCTTGCATTTCTGCAATAAATTCAAATTGGTTATGGTATATAATTCTTTTTATAGCTGCTAGATTCAGCCTGCTAGTATTTTGCTGAGGGTTTTTGTATCTATATTCATAAGAGATATTGGCATACTGACTGTTTTTGGTATCAGGGTAATACTGGTCTCATGCAATGAGTTGAAATGTTTCTTCTATTTTCTGAAGGAGTTTTTGGGGGATTATTATTAATTATTCTTTAAGTGTTTGGTAGAGTTCTCCAGTGAAGCTGTGTGGTCCTGCGCTTTTCTTTGTGGGAGGTTTTTCAATTACTAATTACACCACTTTACTTGTTATAGGTCTATTCAAATTTTCTCTCTCTTCTTTAATCATTTCCAGTAATATGTGTCATTCTCCATATTTATCCACTTCATGTAAATTACCTAACTTAGTTATCGGTAGTATTCCTTTATAATCCTTTTTGTTTCTGTAAGGTCAGTAGTGATGTCTACTCTTTCGTTCCTGATTTTAGTAATTAGATTCTTCTTTCTTTTTTGCATGATGCAGTCTCAATTGGGATACTTTTAATTACAAATCACAGAAAACTCAAGATAAATAAGCTCAAATACTGTAAAATAGATGGTAAAATAAACCGGTAAAAAGAAGCTTCACGGTATCGTTTTACTCGTGTTACCATGTATGATGGGTAAGTTTGTGTGTCAACTTGGCTTGACCTTGATTCTCAGTAGTTTGGCGGTTATGTAATGATGTAGTTTGGCAGTTATGTAACGAAGTAGTTTGGCAGTTAGGTAATGATGTAATATAATCACCTTCATGATGTGATCTGATGTGATTAGCCAATCAGTTGCAAGGGGAGTTTCCTTGGGGATGTGACCTGCATCCAATATATATGGACGTTCTGGCAAGACTCTCTGGCTTTTGCTCACTATGGATCCCGTAACCGGCTCATCATCATAGACCTCTAGTTTTGGGACTCGAGCCAGTAGGCTGCTGTCTTACCTGTCAATTTTGAGTTCATCAGCCCCAGCAGCTATGTGAGTCAGGGGAAGCCTCCAGCTTGATGCCTGACACACAGTGTTGGGACTTGCCAGCATTCACAGTCGTGTAAACCATTTCCTTGAGATAAATCTCTCTCTCTCTTTCTTTCTATATATATGTGTATACACACACACACACACACACACACACACACACACATACACTTCACCAGTTTTGCTTCTCTAGAGAACCCAGCCTAAGACTTCTGGTACTGAGAGTGGCTCTAAAGAAACAAAATTATAAGGATTAGTTTTCTAAATCGGTTCTCAAGTCTGATTAGTCTTAAAGATGTTAATAACTCTGCTTCCAGTAGAAAATGGGACATTACTAATCCATGGCATGAGGTGGCAATAGAAATACGCAAAATATCACCACCAGTATATCAGGTATTGACATTCTGGATGATCACATGTTTGATTCTTTTCTACAATTTTGTCATAATAAGAAGCATAAGAAAGCTGGTTGATTGGTCTTACTTTCCCTAGACAAAGTAGTGAAAGAAAGAGATGAGCTCAGGGCTTAAGAGTCACAGCTCAAGCACCATATAAACAACCTCAAAATTGCCACCAGTACCCTGAAAGAAAGCCTATTTCTTGTAGTAACAGAGCTGATATTACCAAAAACCAAACCCAGAGTATTATCATGAGAATGGCTGAATTACAATACCAGATGAATTCTCAATCTTGAATGGTGTCTGAAGCTAAAGTGAGGGCATTGATTGAGAAGAAATAGGATCTTGAACTTGGAATGGAGACATACAGGCAAATAATCAGGAAGCTTGGGACACTAAGCCCCTAAATTCCACGAATCACTCCTACCAACAGAACCAGACTTCTCACTCCCATCTGAAAAAATTATTACATCTTTGTCTGTTAAGCCACCCTCCCCAGTAAAACCATTATCCCCTCCACCCTATCAGATGAGATTAACCCAGCTGTGTCTGAAGAGTCTTTGCTGAGATACCGCCTGAGGTAGCATCTCAGTCATCACCTGGAGAGGTGTCTGAGTCATTGCCTAGAGTATCGCCTGAGGCAGATGTCTTACAAGACATTGCCAAATGTTCTCAGAACACATCCCCATCACTTATCTTTGCTTCTAAACCTATAACTAGATTTAAGTCCCAGCGAGCCCCAAAGGGTGAAGTACAAACTGTGACCCAGGAGAAGGTATCTTACACTCCAAAAGAACTGCTTGACTTATCTAACATGTACAAATAAAAACCTGGGGAATATGTGTGGGAATGGCTATTAAAGGTGTGGGATAATTGTACAAAGAACATAAAGGTGGATCAGTCTAAGTTTATTGA